ATTATTAATTTTCTCCAGATGATCAATCCACACACCGCTTACCCTATCTCTACCTACCCTAGGCCATTCTTTTACCCCAACCCCATCCTTCTCCACTCAACCCCAGGTTTCCCCACCCTCCCCATCCTTTTACCCAACCACATCCTTCCCCACCCCGCTACCCCTTCCTTCCCCCAACCCCACTACCCCACCCCCTTCTTTCCCCTAATCCCGCTACCCCCCCCTTCCTTCCCCCAACCCCACTAACCCCACCTCCTTTCCTTCCCCCAACCCACTACCCCTACCCCCTTCCTTCCCATCCCACCCCCACCCCACCCCTTCCTTCCCCCAACCCCACTACCCCACCCCCTTCCTTCCCCAACCAAACTCCCCCCAGCCCCTTCCTTCCCCCAACCCACTCCCCCCCTTCCCCCCACCTCACCCCACTCCCCACCCTGGTCCGTGGCGCCGCCGGTCTTGCGTCCGAAAGCGCGCCCTTCCTTATACGGCCGTCGACTGCGGACCTGCGCGGCGCGCGGACTGGCGGAAGGGCTTATCTATACGCGATACGCAGCGCTCGGGGTCCGGGATGCGTATGAATGATGTTTTTTTTTTTTTTTTTTTTATGAATGCGAGGGTTAAAGTCGTTAATTTTTTTTAAGCTGGTATTTTGTTTTGTTTTTGTTTTTGGTTTTGGGTGGGGGGAGGGGGAAGGAGAGTGGGAGGGAGGGAGGGAGGGGATGTTTGAGAAAGAGGGGGAAGGAAAGGAGGGAGGAGGGGAGGGGGAATGTGGGAGAAGAGGGGGAGGAAAGGAGAGAGGAGGGGGAGGAAGATGGGCAGGGAGAGGGAGAGGGAGAGGAGGGAGAGGGGGAAGGGGGGAGAGGAGGGGGAAGAAACATGGGAGGAGAGGGAGAAGGGGGAGGAAGGGAGGGAGAGGAGGGGAAGAAACCGGGAGGAGAGGGAGAGGGGGGAGGAAGGGAGGGAGAGGAGGGGAGAAACCGGGGAGGAGAGGGGAGAGGGGGGAGGAAGGGAGGGAGAGGAGGGGAAGAAACCGGGGAGGAGAGGGAGGGAGGAGGAAGGGAGATGGGCAGGGAGGGGGGGGAGGAACCTGGGAGGAGGGAGGAAGGAAGGGAGTGAGGGAGAAGCAAATTGGTAGAGACGGAGAGAGGCGTGGAGCGTGGGAGGGAAAGGGAGAGGGGGGAAGAGAGGAGATGAAGGAAGAGAAAGAGAGAAGAGAGGGAGAACGAAGGAAGAGAAAGAGAGGAGAGAGGAGAACGAAGGAAGAGAAAGAGAGGAGAGAAGAAACGAGGAGAGAAAGAGAGGAGAGAGGGAGGAAGGAAGAGAAAGAAGAAGGGAGAACGAAGGAACGAGAAGAAGACGAAGGAACGAAGGAAGAGAAAGAGGGGAGAGAAGGGAGAACGAAGGAAGAGAAAGAGAGGAGAGAAGGGAGAACGAAGGAAGAGAAAGAGAGAAAGAGAAGGGAGACGAAGGAAGAGAAAGAGGGGAGAGAAGGGAAGATTCGGGGAGAGAAAGGCGTGTCTGTTAATGTAGATCGATGACGTCATTGCGTTTTGGGTTAATTAGTCCTCTGTCTTTTGTAATTGGCAGCTGATTCGTAGTTACCAAACATTAGGTAATGATAGTAAAAAAAGACAAAAAAATAGATAATTATAAAGCTTAGTAATGGTAATTAGAATGTATTGTACTAATGATGATAATAGTAAAAAAGACAAAAAATAATGATAAAGTTTAGTAATAATGATTATAATGCATAGTAATGATAATGATAATGATGATAATGATTAAAATGACAATGTGAAAATAATAATGACGATATTAATGAAAGATGAGACAAAACGAAATGAGAAAACGAAAAAAATAATAATCACAGTCATAAAAAACAATCCAATAATTAAGAAAAAAACAACAACAATAAAAACGATACCTCAAAGAAAACGAAAAAAGCGAAACAGAAAACGGAACCCCGCCTCCCCTCCCCCACCCCTTCCCCTCCCCCTCGACCCCCAACCCCACCCCTCACCCCTTTACGTAAATTCCTTTCTTTTACGCACGCCCCGAAACGCTGCAGAACCGACCATATAAGGAGAATGGCGGTTTTCGTTGCGTATGCGAGATAGCGGCCGAGAACCAGCAGTTGATTAATCGGGGTCGATAATTGTACGGCGCCCATGACGGATCGGGGTTTTGTACTCGGCGCGCGGTGGTCATGCATTTTGTGCGCGCTCTCTCTCTCTTTCTTTCTTTCTTGCTTGCTTCTTGCTTGCTTGCTTGTTTGGCTNTATAATGATGGTTAATAATAAAATGAATAGGGCTGCAAAATACATAAAGAGTGAATAATAATGATAATAAAAATATAATGATAAGAATGAATGATAAATAAAGATTGATAATAATATTAAATGATATGATAATAATGATAATAAATAGATATGAAATGATAATAAAAAAGATATGATGATAATAAAAATGATGATAAATAATATTAATAATAATGATTAAT